GCTAACAGTAACACTTGCTTCTCACTTAGGGCAAAATGATGGCTTAGGGAAGGGGTATGTGGGCAGTTTCCCAGAAACCTAAATTGACCCTCCTCCTCAATATGCAAAAGAAGAGGTTTTGAAATTCAGACTAGGGACATTATAAGTAACCCCCCACCAAAGAGGGACTCTTTGTTGGCCTCTTGAAGGCTTAGTTGTTAATAGACAGTAAAGAGGTTGCCAAAAGAACCTTATGCTTCATTCTTTTATTTACACTTTCTTGGATAGAAAAAATAGTATATAAATACTACACACATTCTGCTAAAATGTCATTGAAAATTTACTGTTATTATTTATAAAGTTAATCCTCGATAAACTGTAGCATGGTAAGAATCTAGAAACTAGAGATTTCAGAAGGAAAGTATAAAAAGCTATTCCTGTCTTTGAGAATGTCTGCTTGAGCATTTCCAGGGTTTTCTGATAGATCTTGATGCTAGTTGTCAAACTAAAGCTCAGTGCAGCTTAAACAACCTGTTTGTAAGATGCATATCATCCACATATCTGGAAGAAGAAAGTATTTTTAAGTTTAATTCAAATATTGCATAATACTGAGCTAGGAATGGCATGCAATATGGGCTTGTGCAAAACAATAATACATTGAAACCCCGCCTTACGGCCACCTCATTATTAGGATAGTTTTTTTTTGCCACCTGGCAAAAACCGCCATACATTTTCTTGTAAAAAACCCTGGTTAATACGGCCACCCTGTTAATACAGCCAACATTGGTGACTGTATTAACAGAGTTCTACTGTATTATAATCGCATGGGAGAGATTTGCTTCAGTACCCATGACTCCATAACAAAATTATGCAACAAAATACTGGTATTTATGAATAATAATTATTTCTGAGTTGAAAGTAGAAGACATTAAAAAAGTTTAACTTCTGTTTGTCTGTGTTGAGTTTGCTGTCCGTGTATACTGGAAATGGCATGTGCTGCAGCTGTTGCAACTTCTGCATTTCTAATGATTTGCAGAGTTTCAAAATGTCAATGGACTTAACCATTGCTGATAAATCTCTTTCACTTTCTTGTTCTTTCTTTCTTACTCCACCAAAAAGAAGTGAAAAAAACATCATGTAACTTGCTGAATACATTCATTTCCCAACTTATGTGTTTGAAACTGATTTATTTATTACTTTCATTGGATTGGTCACACCTAGGAGTGTTGTAGACTTGCCTTAAATGTCAGCTGTTTTTGCAGTGAAATGTTTGCCAGCTGCTGCACCTGCGATGTGGCCGCCAGTCATGCCTGGGATACTGTTCAGATATGTGAACAGAAGTGGCCGGCAACATTGCTCATCCCAGTCTTTACCCCCGGCATGCCTGCAAAGTTGACTCAAGTTCAACTTCGCAGGCATGCCGGTGGTAGAGCTCGGCGATGGCTCTAGCTGCTGGTGACGAATGTTCTCATTTGTCCAAGAAGTGTCCCAGCCAGTACCAGTGGCTATGTCGCAGATATATCGCCAGCATATGAGAACCAGGCTTTAGCTCCACAAAAATGAGAGTCCGAACTACTATTAGTTTAAAAAAAAGAATGACACCAGGGAGATTGCTTCTCAGATGGTCTTTCCTTGGTGTATGAAAGGCGTCAGCTCCCCCGTGGCTGGCCAAAGAGATCCTGAATAATGATGCTACCTTACCCCACTCCCCCTGCTACTTGCCCGTACTTGGAAACTGGGTAAATGCATAAACAAAGCCTTTATTGTAACAAATCTATAACTTAGCAAATTCGGAAAAATAGGTCTTATATCTGGTCTTAACTAAACCGTGTGTTCTTTTACTAGACGACCGTTTTAACTGATAGTGCAATAAAACAACGATAAAGTAAACAAAACATTGTTCATAGATTACACAACCTTGCCAACGCGCGTCCATATCCGCGAATTATCAGGACTTCTACTCAAATACTGCGTTAACAAGTCAAATTAAGGCAATACTAAAGAGCTAAAAAGTCAGAAAATAGAACTTACCTCGTCATGGGACTGTTAATGTGAGGGAAATGCTTTTGACTTTTGGGATGAAATGGCGGCGGGAGCGTCATGCCTGTTCCCCATCTCGGGTAAATACTTCTGCTTGGAACACCCTTAGAGGGAAGCATCTGCCTGAGAGTCGACCACTCCTCGCATCTTGTTGCTGGAGAAGAAGGGTACCACTTTTCCTCTTCCAAATGTCGTGAAAATGTTTTCAAAGAAGGTTGTGTTTCGCGTGCCCAGTGTTCAGGGACGGTGGTGGGGACTGGTGGATCGCAGATAAATTTAGACCTCTGTACCGGCGCATTACTTCTGAGATCCTGGGGATCGTGTCTTTTGTTCACCCACACTACATCGTTGTTATCTGGTCGTATTTTAGCGGTAGATTTGTAGCCAAAAAGCATTCCGCCAAGTGACTCCGCAGCCATGTCTGAAATTACTTCGCGCAATAAGCTGTTGTAACTGTCTCGTTGCCAAGCAACAGATTAGTCCCTTGTCACCGGAAGTTCCGATCGTCAATTAAAAGATGCTTTAAGAAGTGTTCAATTCTGCAAGTTAAATGAAAAAGAGCCCGTCTCTACAAGTCATCTATGAAAATACTATTACGTGCACATTTGAAGATTAAGTACCACATAATTAAAAACAATGTCCCTGTTCGAGGGCCGTCCTTTCATGGGGAGGTTGATTTGCGTTGTTAGAGTTGTTGAGCCTGAGCGTAGGTTATGTATCTACCATTAATTTGCCTCCATCACAATAATTGATAACTCTTGCAACTAAAGAAAGCCGTTATAAGTGCCTGCATTGTGATAAACGATTCACCTAGTCAACAGTCTCCTTCGCAGCCGTTTTTAGGCTGCCTTGGACCATGGATAATCCATGGTCTTGGGGACCGCACTCAAGTTAAGAAAGAGAAAGAAAACTTCGTAGTCTCTTGTTTACGGCCTCCATAAAACGTGGAATTAGACATTTTCACGTCGTAGTCGTGCAGTGAGGGCAAAGAAATGTCCAAAAAAGCTTGATGCACTCGAAAAGTTGTTTTTCGCTCAATAATACTATTGCTATTTTAACATTCTCGTTGTCGTCGCCATTGTCTCCCTACTTTCTAAGCTGAGGAGGGCGTCTGTTCATAGGCTAGTTAGTAAAAGACGGAATCCTCAGTTACTCCGACAGTTGGCGCCAGTCTCAAAGTCTGTCTTTGAGAAAGTTCTCACGAAAAACAGGTGTCACAACAGACTACAAGCAAAATAAATGACAGGGTAATGGCCACGTATATTAGTTATTTCAGCCGTTTGTCGCAGATGCGCCAGTTCGTCTCCTCTTTGGGCTCAATCCAAAAGTTACTGACAGAATTTTTTTAGAGGAGGCGGGCTTAACACTTCCTTACACTGAAAAAGCGCCCTGGGGGAGAGGGTGTGGGTGGGCCGCACCCGCCCCCCCCCCCCGCCCTCTTCCATTACCCCGAACGAGGGTAGCCAACCTCGTCCTTAGGGTCTCTCGTTGGCAAAATAGCTGCTGCCACGATATGGAAAAAACAAAAACCCTGGGGTCAAGGTTTAGAAGGTAGCTTGTCTTTCAAAGGAAGGATGTAGCGTCGCACGTTACCACTCATGCGCGGCGTTTAATAGCGACTGGACGGTCGTATTTGAAAAAGGAAATCCACTTATTACCCGTCTAGTGAGGTGTACTTCTCGCATGAAGATAACTGTGCACTTTTTTTACCGTTTGTAATTTGTTATTTTTTGTTCTAAAAGGCGGTTTATTGTGTTCTCATTATACAGGGCTACTTTTCAGTGCGCGCTTTAACACAGCCCTTTCCTTCTGTCTGTAACGGTTTTTCTTAGCGTTTTCCCGCTCCTAACTTGAGTGCCAGAGGCTTTTTTTTACTTAATTCCAAGCGCCTGTTAATACCTGATAGTTCGCGGCGAAAAGCGGGAAATTAACTAAACTGTGCGCAGGGTTTATTTCTCTGGAGCCAAGGTGTCTCCATAATTAATGAGTACATCTTCCCCGGACATCTTCTTTAATCCGAAGAAGTTGTTTTTACTTTAAAATTTTGGATTAAACAACCCTCTCCGTAAAGAAGGAAAAAATTTTAACAGGCTAATTTTTTATTGGTTCTCTGAAAGATGAGAAATTTTGTAAATCGTGTCACATCCTGTTTTCTTGCGTGCGAACAGTACATACGTATTTTATTGGCTCGTCCGCACAGGGGGTTCTCAGAGTCAATCTAACAACAATGATTTTGAAAAACCCAGTTACACACAGAAAGCCAAAAACACGAAAAATAATTAACTTATTTAGCTCAAGGAGACGTCTAGTAATACACTTAAAACTAGTCGGTTAGGCTTGAGTGCAACAAATTTGTGATCACTGAATTATCCAAAATCTTATCTGTTTAAAAGTAACGAGGATAACTAGAAGGCGGATTTTTGACATACCGTATCGCCGTATCAGTCATCAGTAAAATTAAAAAACGGCTCCTTAGCATTATAAGAAACTCTTAAGCTGCTTTTGAGTTTCCGTTAAAATTAGGTGCATGTAAGGAATTCATTTACTCGCGCGCAGTAGAATTAAACGATGATTTTTAAATGACTTTTTACTGATTATGATAGATGTGCCTCTCAAACGCATTTGTTTATATTGCAGAAAATGTTGTCAATTGTGTTTTCTCGGATAATATCTACCTGTTGCTGTCAAGACTTTTTGCTTCTGAAATTATTCAATTCTTGTTTACTGTTATTTGACCCTTTCGTTTTCATTCAAAGTCCTCGTTCCAGCAAAAACGCAGGCGCAAACGTTACTGAAATTTTAAACGTCGCCTCTCTTTCATTTTAACCAATCGACTTACAGAACGTTCGCGTACGTCACCATGTGACGTCATGGTATAGTATATAAGCACACGCCACACACGAACGAGCTTCAGTTTGCACTGACTTTCACTGTGTATACTTGACTTACGTCACTGTAATTGAAAGGAAATTGCGCCTGAAATGGGTTGTAATCAGAGCAAAGTGAGATTTTCGCAAGTATTTAAGAGGAAGAGGGTAAGAGCAACTTAGCGGTTGATGAAGTTTTCGTAATAAATGAAAAAAAATGCCAATTTTCTGCATCTTTCGTTGTAGTTTTCGAGAGTGTTAAGTAAGGTCGTTGAAAACATATGGCGTCAGCCTTACCATATAAGGGCACAAATTTGAAATTATTCTGACCAATCATAGAGAGTTATTTGAAGGCCCCATGTGGGGTTAACGTGACCTTAAAAGGAAACAAATTTGAAAAATTCTGACCAATCATAGGACATGTTTGCAAGCCCACGTGGTTTCGGTTCAACCGTAAAAGGAAACGAATTTGAATTGAAAGTGACCAATCACTACGCGTTTCCTCCATATCTCGCGCGTGCGTAGAAAGATTGAGCCGTTACAGAACAACGAGTGATTTTTGTTTAGCTCGGAAGAAAAGGCAACTGAAGAAAATCAACAAACAAACAAAAAATAAAGATGGTTTCATTTATCGCAATTGAAACCACGAAGTCTCCAATGTTTCTTTGAAATGTAGCGATCACTAGAAAAGTGCTATATCAGCATGATTTGACTGCAGTGTCAGGCAGCGCGTGCATGACAAATCGTCGCCTTTCAATTTTTTGAAAGAATGGATGAGATCTTCTAATATCCATGTTGAGAATAAATATATTGAAGATGACATTTAATAGAACAGTTTAAATCGACAACAACAAATTTTATTTACATTCAATTGCTAGTAATTACAAATAATTTACCCACCCTCAAATAATAGCAAGGAAACTAATCGAGGCCGAGGAGGGCGGGGGAAAGGGAGAGGGAAAATAAGACATATTTTACATTTTTTATTTTTATTTTATATTTTACGGTTTGAGAAAAAAGGACTAGACAACAACAACAACTAAATCTTAGATCAAATAAAGTAAATTCGAATCAAACTCACTTCAGAAATTTTCTTGGGTTTCAGTGTGGAAAACCGCCATCCCGGTTGGGAACTCCCTTATATAGGGGCGGGGATTCTCGTTGTCTCGCTTAGGGGTGTAAATTTCGGATTTTGGTCTCACTTGGGGTGTTCTGGACAAAAACGCCAGTATATTTAGCCGTAAAAGTCTCTATTAGGGCTGCATGCGAAGAAATAGAAAAAATTATGTATTTTCAATTCGTTTTATTTACTCGATACATGTAATCCCTGCTTAAAATGGTCTCTTTTAGGGGTCAAAAAAGGGTTAGGCCACGCCCCGATAGGAATTGAGGGGAGAGTTTAATTCGAAATTTCCGACGAGTATCCCTACCCCTTTCATATGGGAGTCGCCCTGGGCCGTCAGCCGTCAAAGGTCCAAAATTTAACTGTTAACCGTCGACCGTCGAAAAAGTCTTACGTGGATTCTTGCCCCTGAAAAAATGTCTCAACTAGAAAAAAAAAACATTCCATGTTTTAAAAAAAGCTCTTTCTAGAAATTGAATGTATTTGGAAATTATATTTTAGTGAAAGGCCAAGACAACCTCCAAAACGTAACAGTTCATATTAATTCGTAATTTACGTTTGGACTAAATTTCTACTTAATAACGTAACCGTCAACCTGTCAATATTAGGGGAAAAAAAGGCAGCGTCAACCGCCTATGCTACCACTCCATCGAGACCCACATAAGAGACTCCTTACTTATCTGTTAATAATTTTTTTTGCTAGGCAACCAAGAGAACAACTTGGTACGTTGACCTTGGTACGTTAGAATGCAGCCCTCCTCTTATGCAGCATACGTCACAGAAACCAGCCCCAGCCTCAAACATCCATTATGAGGACTTTTCCATTCTGTCTTTTATGACAAGAAAAGATCATTACGAGTGGGTGGAGATGTATGCTAAAGAACAATTGCTTGAATGTTTGGAATCTTGCTTAAACTATAAAGGATTTCATGAATATGGATTCCACTTATTATCACTTAGTCCAAGGCCATTGCTGGAGATCAGAACTTACGATAATAGATCCATTCATTCCCTTCCTTGGGGGAACTCCACGGCCTTGGAGTACTTTCTAAGGTAGGTACAAAGGAGACGACTCCGGGTTCATTGTAACTAGTACCCTGCGAGTAAGCTCACCAAATATGGGAAGCGAGCCGCGAGAGCCTGCCCCTCGAGCTCTCGTCTCCTTTCGAGCGCAGCTCTCGCGTGGATTCTCGCGAATCCCCCAAATGGAAAGCTTCCTCGCAGGCTGATGGTAAATTGCCATCGATCTTTTCCTCGGTCGGAATCCAAGACAGTCTTGGATTCTGGATTCCACGCCATGGATTCCGGATTCCAAATAGTTGATTTCGGAGCCTTTGTAAGTGGAATTTGGATTCCGGATTCCAATCGTTGGCGGGATTCCGTGAGCTGTATTCCGGATCCCAAAGCCCGGGATTCTCGATTCCACAAGCAAAAATGTTCCTTACATGAAGCGCAATTAGGAAAAAATATTTATTGCCCAAATAAGGTAACCCGGTGCTCGAATTCCGGAATCCGCAAAAAAATTGCTTGTTCAATCCGGAATCCTTGGCTTCGGAATCAGGGAATACCCGGATGCTGATCAAGGATTCCAGAATACAAGTTCCAATGACAATGAATCCGGAATCCCGTAGTACCTGGAATCCGGAATCCACCACGTTTTAATGCCTTTATATTTGCAAAGTTTAACAAAGTTGAGCCTCTGGATAATAATTCTTAGCATTTAAATGTTCTCAACTGATTTTGTAAAAATGAAAGTTCTGATGGGCTCTCCAGCTCTATAAGTTTTGCGAACTTTTTTTTCCACCCTGATAACTTGCAAAAACAGCGCGGAGAGACGGTTCCACACTGACTTTCCCCTTCAATATTCCGTCCCGATAGCCCCCCTCCTCCTCCCCCCACTGTATTATACCGCCGGGCCTCCGAGGTTGGAAGTGCGCAGAAGATATCGTGCATCGGAAAGAAAAAGCGGGTGTTCGGTAGCTTAGAATGCTGAGAAAACAATGGGGTGGTCTATCAATGTTAAAAATTTGAAAAAAAAAACACACACACACACTCGCTAGAATTCTCAACAGTTAAATTGGCCTTTGTATAGAACGAAAGTTGAAAGAAACATGGCGTTATTTGTAATAAATTACGCTAAATAGGTCTCTAAGGAGGAAAAACTTTATAGTAAGGATATTTAAAGGCCAATTAGCCTGTTCTTTTCTTATTCATTCACAGAACTATTCCAGAAGCAATTGAGGCAAAGGTGGGGAATGACCCCTTTGTTCTTGTTATCGACGATCTCGATAACGAGTCAGGCTACAGTAAAATGTGTGTTAGTCTGATTGAGAAGACCTGCCAGACGCTGCAAATGAGGTAAAATAATAAAAAAAATTGTTATACTTTCCTGGTCCCCAGGGTCGTCTTGTGTTCCAGTATGGCAGCTGTAAGGGAAACCCAGCCTCGTTCCCAGTCGTCCTCGGCGATTTTGGATGTGACGTCACCAGTTAGGCTTGTAGGGAAAATTCGCTCTCGGTTCCAAGCCTCCTCTTATAACTCGGATAGCGCGAACTGGCCTGGGTACGAGGCTGGGGGAGACCCCCTTCTCTTCTGCCGCCACCTTTTTGGAAAACGAAAAGACTCTAGGGAAGAGGTTGGCACTTGTGATTCCATCGTGAGTAGCACTCCATGTAAGGAGTGTCCAAAAGCAACTGAGTTAAAAAGGCAACTTTTCGTTCCTCTTGTTGTCTGTTGTTTTTACTTCTTTGTTCACTCCCCCTTTTCTCATTCATCCTATTTCTAGTAAATAAGTCTTTTCAGAAATGTAAGTGATATGCATAAATCACAGGGATTATTTCTAGCAACCGGGCGAAAAATATTTGAAATTGTTTTCTCCGTGTTAGAGCGGTTTTCACTTGACTGTCGTAAAACCAAAACCAAAGTAAATACACTAGACAACCAAAGGGCGTAGTAAAACCAAAGAAAGACGAACCAAAACCAAAACCAAACCAATTCCTCAATTACTTTCGACAGTCAAGTGAAAACCGCTCTATTGGAAAAGGTGCCCGTAATTATCATCATCATCATTATCATCTTCATCTCTATCATTTTCATCATCATTATTTTCGGAAAAGTTGTGATCATTAACATACTGATTTTGATTCTTTAGTCTCACTTTAGAAATACCCATGCTTTTCAAAAGAATGTAAATAAACGAATCACTTTGGATTGAATCTATCTTGTTTTGATGTCATTCACTGACTGCCATCTTAATTTTCACAGATTTGAGGGGAGGTTGAAGAGAGTTTGTATCAACAGACCATACGGTCTGTTAGCTTATGACCTCGCGATCAGAAAGCGCTTCAACCTCCCGTTTGCCAGGTAAGACATCTCATGAGGTATTGCTAATATAGCAATTATATCGGGTGGTCGGGATCTTAACACTGCCTCGTTACCGGCGCAACGGTCTTCCCTTGTGTTTTTGCGTTTTTGAAGCTTTCCCATAATTCTTGCGCGCGACTACCGTCGAAAATCCCAAGAAGAGTCTGGGTACGAGGTAGTGCTTAATATGCATTTGCAAATAGTAGTTATATAGACTAGGGAAACGTTTAGTCAGCTTTGATCAACCTCGTGCTCAGGGATTCGCATTTAGATAAGGAGGAAGCCCTGGGAACGAGATTGCTTGTTGATTGCCGTTAAATTACCAAAGGTCCTGGCCCAGTTGTTCAAAAGGCAAATCCATTTGATAATCGAAATCTCTATCCAGCAGATAGGGCAATTGATTTCCGTTATACGTATTCAATATGTAGCAATTTATCCGGTGGATTGCGCAATCCAACGTTTGAACAACCGGTGCCTGGAATTGAACAATCCGCAACCTCGTCTTCAGGGCTTTTCCCGAAAGCCCTGGGGACGAGGTTGGAACAATCCGCTCCTCCTGTAGGATAATCTCGTACCCAGATCTCCCTCAAGACAGAGTGAGATCTGGGTACGAAATTATCTGTAGCAAGTAAGGGACTACGCAGATCTAACCTCTCACATGTCTTCCACTGTCACCTGTCATAAGACATTCTGATCGATTTTAATTAATGAACGTTTTCTTTTTCAGCTGTGAAATTGAGAATAAGCTAATAGTAGCTGATCGATTCTCTGTGGGCAAGCTGGCAAGAGCTACAGGTTAGTTTATATTGAGAGAGGCGTTCTTGAAGAATTTGCCGATTTTATTTCATTTGTGGTCAATTTGAGCGCAATATTACATTTGTGGCTTCAACCCCCCTTGCTTACGCGCAACATGTTTGTACAACTTATCCTTCTTTTTTAAAGACGGTTATCTTAGAACTGGTTTTTTGTTGGTCTTGCAGGTTTTCCAGGAAGACTTATTCCAGAAGATGAACTTAAAACTAGAGTTGCGAGTCTCTGAAGCTATTCTAGGAAAAGATTTACAATGACAATTTAAGCTCTAGAAATTAATTCGTATTTTATCAAAATAATCTTCCTGCGATTAAGCTGATTTCAGTTATCTTGAATATTGTAGTATTGTTATTATTATTATTATTATTATTGTTAACATAAATGAGGCTGTTGTATATTCTTTACACATATCTGATGTAGCGTCATTGATTATAATTGTCTTCTGTTTCAAAGATAACAAGATGGCAAATAAAATTGTCTAAGCAATGTCAACTGAAGTTACGTTTCGACACTATAACATGCTCTTCTCGATATGCAACAAAATTTCTTAACTATTATATTCTTTCTCTACAAAAAATACTGATAAACGTTTACCTATACACGGTTCTTTCAATAAACATCCCAGGGATTGTTTCTACTGCAAATTAACATTGCAATCAGTAATCGTAGGAAATAATACTGTTATTTAGCACAGCCAAAGCTTTAAATACCGACTTAGTATTAATAAAGAGTAGAAAAATGTATTTGAAAACAGTGCAATCCAGTGCAACGAAAAAACTTTAAGATGTGGAAATTACTAACTGCTTTCATTAGTTTGAGAAATTTGTTGTTTTGGTGAAAGTCATGATCAGCTCAGGGACTAATCGCCGGGCACTAAGGCGAATATAACCGTGAAATTTAATTTATAGAGAGCTTAAAATAGCTCTGCATATACACTGATTTATACTCGATAAAGTGTCATTTTGGAATCGGATCAGACAATAATATAACATCGTTGCTAAGGGTTGCACTTACTTTGTTATTCATAATGTTAAACAAGAAATGCTTACAATAAATATGTGAACATTGAAGTTTCATGCCTCTTGAGAGTGATTTTGTTTAATTTTTACTTTGCTCGGTTTCTTCCTTCTCGTTCCTCTTCCAGCTGAATATTTGGCTAGCGTTTCCAAATCGGCGAACTCGCGTGGAAATGCTTGCTAAGCAGGCTCCCGCGCGCGTCCCCCGCTCCACCTCCCTATACCTAGCTAACGTTTCTCACCTCGAAGGAGCCTATTCTGAGGTTTAATCAGGGGGTTACTGAAATAGCAAGTTGTAAAGTCAGGTTTTGCTCCCATTTTTTGTTTCCCCCGAATACTTATGAGCATAACCCAACAACGAGATGACTCGCTTTCAGTAACAAAAGTATAATTATACGAGGACGAAACTGGAGTGACAGTTTTTCTCTCGTACACTCAAACTAAATAGACAACCTGAAAAACTTTATTGCACTTTTTTACTTGAAAATTAATACGATTACTTTAATTGAAAGGGGTTTAGCCCTCTCTCGATCACAAAATGGTAAGACTTGTAACATTTGATAAGTAGTTTACGTCACTATGACATTTTCGTTACAAACCGTAACCGAATAACGACGGCTATCGCGTTTCCCGCTGCTAAATGCATGCACTACTCAATACTGAGAAAGGTTGTTCTCGTCGCCCTCGTCTAATCCAAGGTCTCTAATAACACATGGGTGAATACGTGATCTACTGTCACTTCAAGTTCTATCAGATTCCCCTGCATCATTCAACTAATAAAAAAATTGATGAGAATTCTGAAAAAGGTCCAATCATCACTTCCTGTGCTATTCACCTAATTTTAACGTAAGAAAACAGCCGACACTTCGTGGCGCAAACATTGGTTTTCCCGCGAAATACGTTCGTGAAACGAGACTGATGATGTGTCACTAGCCAGATCTGTAGGATAGTGCTTTTGATTGGTTGAAGCAAGTTTCCCTCGTGGCACGACCAATCAGAAGCACTATGCAGACGTAGGTATAGCGACCTGTCATCAGTATGGAATTTCATCTCAGACGTAATTTCGCGAGCAAACCAGCAGTGACGTCGCAAAATGTCGGCTGTTTTCTCAGGTTATAAATTCAGGTCTTGTTCCCACTTTTTCCCCCGAATACTCAAGAGTAAAATTTAGCGCAACAAGATGGTTTGTACCAGCGAACCAAATAGCGCATAGATAAATACTTGATTAACTGGCACTAAAACTCAACATCATTCAAATTCACAAGAAAGGCGATAGACTATGAATTCATGTACGATTGTAAATTCTTCTAACATTTAATGATAATTCTGAAAATCGGAATAATCGTTACCCCCTGTCCTTACTTACGTATTTTCAAAACCTCCCGTTAAATTCTCCCACACCTCTAAAATGACAACTTTCCTTGCACTTTTCTACGCTTGAACAAGTGAAATCCCTTGGCTCACATTCATTATGGCTTTAACCTGACGAGTGTATCCCTTTCACGTCATGCTTTGAAACGCGTCAACTTAGTCATATATGTAAGTAGTTTTTCGGAAGATGAATGTGTATAAAAAAACAGATTACTGTAGTTGTTTCTGTTCGCACACTGTTATAGCTTTACTAGTTTACTCCTTCCAAAAGTTTCCTTTTCTCTAAAGTTTTAGGGATAAAAGCTGTCCCGGGAAAAAGAGTCACCCTCCCAGCCGAGTCAACGTTAGTATGCGTTTATATCAGTGAGAAAAAGGATGGCCCCTTTGCCCACGAAAGCAGTATTACTAGCCTGCGTAACAAGCGTTTCTGTGTGGTTTCGGATTTTTCGCGAGGCCAAAACCGAAAATCCCTATCTCGGTCTTTCTTTGCTCCGAAACCGCAAGGAAAAGCTTGCTACGCAGGCTAGAGTAGAACAGACTTTGTACAAGGTGAGGGTACGTACTGATGAAACTCAGTACAACAGATCTCGTACACAGTGGATGTACTGATGGAATTCCGTAGAACGTAGCGTAGGCTTCCTATACTGTTATAACGACAGAAAATCCAAACTACCGTAATGATTCGCCTTAGCGCCCGGCCGAGTCGCGCTCATTTACTTTTGGTACATCAAGGGAAGGCGCTTATTCGAGACAGGGCGCTTATTTGGGACAAGGCACATTTCTTTTTGAGAGACAATCGAATATTCAAAACAAAGCTTTAATACTTATTAAAAAAAAACAAAAACAGAAACTGTAACAGTACAGTGTCACTTGAATCAATATCGTAAATAACAGCTTTCAGGCCCCGGTTGTTCAAACGTTGGATAGCGCTATCCACCGGATAAATCACTATCCAGCGGATAGCGTGTTGATTTCCGGAATACTTATCCGCTGGATAGTGATTTATCTCGACGTGCAATTCGTTGATGGTGTAGTTGGCCATGGGGGATCGTTAGGCAACACACGACTTTTATCTCATGCCCAAATGCTGCTTGTTCCAATAAATCTTTCGAATAGGCGGTAATTAGAATGGGGGCGCTTATTAACAAAAACACATTCGAAGGGGAGCGCTCATTCGAATAGACTGAGAAAACAGCTGACATGAATTGGCGACGCTGCCACTGGTTTCCCCGCCAAATGACTTCTGAGAAACGAGCGCAGGAATTCGATACTGATGACGCGTCACTACCCAGATCTGGATAGTGCTTCTGATTGTTTGAATCAAATTTCCCACGCGGGACGACCAATCAGAAGAACTACCCAGATCTGGGTAGTGGCGCGTCATCAGTATGGAATTTCTGCGCTCGTTTCTCAGACGTCAATTGGCCGGGAAGCCACCGGTAGGCTAGCGTCGCCAAATGTCGGCTATTTTCTCAGGCTATTATTCGAATGGGAGCAGTTATTGAAAGGAGGACGCTAAATCGGATCGAATGTATCTCTGAAAATCTCCAGCTGGCTGGAAGTAAATCGATTTGTTTTAGTCTGACTTTGTAGGGCAAGCTGCATCTCGATTTAGCATACAAACGTAGTTGACTGGCGCAGAAGGCGCCGCTGAAGGCTGCTATAGATGGGTACTCTGTCACATGCCAAGAATTTGCTTAAGCTTTATGGGGAGGTTATCCTAACTATGAGTCATTGCAGTGTGAATACTTTGTTGGTTTGGGAAATTAAAGTTCATTTGTAAACTTTTTATAAATTCGTCCCTGCAGTGAAATGTAGAAATTGAGGAGTGATAAACGAAGGCACAAAGAATGAAAGGCCCTTCCATGGCGATGTTTAAGCAGATTTGTCATATTAAGAGCTTCTTTAAGTCCTAGAGTAATTTAAAGCATGATAGATCTAAGACAAAAACAGTTTTTCTTCTCATATAGTAGCATTTATTACGAAGATATTACTGATACCAGCTGCGGTTAGCTGACTGATTAAAAACTGTTTCTTTCTTATTTCAAAACCGTAAATTACGAATCAATCAACATTACTTACAATATTCTCTCTTGTTTACAGTCATTTATAAGTGTAGACTGAACAGCACAAAAAAGTAAATATATTCCAAAGTGTTGATCGGTTGGTCCTGAGGGCGGTTTTTTACGTTTTGCTCAAGTTATAGGTGCCCGGTTTTCATCAGCTATCTGAATTTGACTGATTTAACTGCCCGGATCCGAATGTTTCAGTTTTAATCGTCTAGGCCGCAGATGAAAGAGCGAATTCACTTGTTTTGTCTGTAAAGAAAGACGACTCGAGTAAACAAAATGTGAGGTTTTAAAAATATCTGGATTCGTGTGGACAGGGCCCAAACTTTTTTTTAGTCATCAGCCTATGTCAGCTGTTGCCTTTCCCTTTGTGTGTGACGGTTGGTATAACGCTGTTGCCCCTCGAGTTTTCGCGGAAAAAAGTGCCCTAAAATGCGTCTAAAAATAGACTGGTCCGTGAACACGCCGTGACATAGGCCTGGTAATGGGAGTTGATCGCTCGGCGTTAAGGGCTCCTGATTTTAGTTAAAAGAAACCGCTACTCAGAGAAATTATATATATAGGAATTATTTTTCTTAAAATTCAGTTGAATATCGGTCGGCACTAAAAAATTCAACTAGTTCCCACTCCCCATATAATGACCGACAAACGAGACGATATTGATTGACTCCATCGAGGTTACCTCTGATTCCAGCGCATGTTTGTTGAAGTGTGACTCCGATTTGCAAGATCTAGAATATTTATCTGCAGTTCATATTTGCTTTATGATTTATAGACGTCTCTGTACTTCTGATATGTGGTTTCTAAACTTTGGCATTGTGTTTCTTGCTTTGTCATTCGATTATTCATTCGCAGAAAGGAGTTCGCTCAAGGAATTTCAAGGTAGGGTCGTGACTCTGTTGGCTGGCAAACTAATAATTTTAGTTACATTGCCGATAAGTATGATAGTGCAAAGTGTTTATTATGACACGAAATAAGTGTTATGATTGCGCCTCAATAATTATCCATATCAAATCTTTCGACCCTTCGGATTTTTCAAAATATCAAACAGGCAGGAATTTTGTTTTACCACAGTTTGACTTTTGTACAATTACTGAGTAATTACACGGCTTTTTTGGTGCGTATGTGGAATAAAAATTCATGATCATGCGCGAGACAAGAAAAGAACAACTCAACTGGAATAAAAAGTACGCGCGGTCCATTTACAATGGTGAGAGCTTTCACTGTGAATTATTGAAATTTGGTATTCTTTAAACGCTGTTTCAATATCTATCAGTCACGTTGTCGTTTCGAAAAAAAATGATACAGATGGCGACAAAGATCGATGCATAGATACCAAATATCTTCATCACTTATTATGATCTGCGAAAAAATGTATATTTGATTTGCAAGACAGCTTTTACTGGTGTTTATAATTTTCAAAGACTTCAGCACTGGTCTATCAGATTGCTAAATTATCCTAGCAATTTGCTTTTAACAAAAGAAGGGAATAAGAAAGAAAAAAGAATGGGTAGATAATTTTTTTTACACTTTTAATAGATTCAATTACCCTTAGCGATTACAATCAGACAAAAATTACAATTCATGAATAATACAGAATAAGAAAAAACCGAACAATGGAGGAAAATTTACTCAGGTGAGACCTACGCGATAGCTGAGAAAAACAAATAACAGCCGATTTGACTTTTTTGCCTGATTTTTGGCAATGTGTGCGGAATAACGCAATTGTATTATGTGCTGCAAGTGACATGCCTCTGAAATACTTCGAAGCTCATAAAGGATAACAAAAATTTACCGGTTTAAATGAGTCCAAAACCCTTTTTAGTTCGTAGTAATTTTTTTTTCATTTCAGCGGGAGGCCACAAACGCAAACTTAAACTCAAGTAATTTATGCAGCTCATGTTTTGTAATCTGTAAGCTGACCTCAGCTCCCTTCGTTCATAAAAATAAAAAAATCATTTTAGACATTTTAAATAGCTCACCACCACCAAAAAGAAAAACAAACGAAAACAAAAGCGGCTTGTCAACAGATGGACCTGTATAATTTAAGAGAATGGTCTCGAAAATAAGTGCATGATATTTTGCCATTGAAACCTTCTAGAAATCGTAGACGTTCAATACTGTACAATACAAGAAGTGCCCATACTTGACAACCTGTAAATCTCGAATCATCGGTCGATCCGACTGTCGTCCGAGCAGCGCCGAAAAAATCCGAAGATACTCCAAGACCACTAAGTGCATGAGAACTGGCAATACAAACCACAGGCATCCTAAGCTCACTGTGAGAGCGCTTTTTAACTGGCAGTATATTGCGTAATGAAGTAGTTTACGGGTTCAAATGGAAACTTTTATCAAACAGTTTTATTTCGCACAAAAAAATCGCCTTTCATCGGAGCTTATTGCAAAGAAATGAAATGAAATGAAATGAAATGAAACTACCTGTGATGTGTATTATGTTCCACTGTCGTTTTAAAGAGATCTAGGGTGGCTTTGCGATCCTGCTTTAATCTCAATTCTGAGGACCATTCGAGGGGGCACTCTCTATAATGGCCAATACCGGGAGGCTCTGCTTTCAAGGAGAGCCTTTTGCAGGCTTCAGGAATGTTTGAGTAGAGGACAAGAGGGGTGCCGTATCCAAAACTGAAAAATGCAGCGGGTTGCCTTGTGCTACATTGGGTGTTATGTAGCTTCACGTGAGAATTGAAAAAGGCCGATCAGAACGGTTCTAATGGATAAGAATCCTCTTCTACCCTGAAGCGTGAGTTGGTCCTCCGAGCCACCTAAGTGCGTAGCCCATGGTCCATCTAATGAAGGACAAGCCCCCGTACACACATAGCAGGGCATTCTTTAAACTACATATTTTTTTCACGCTGATTGGTGTGGATGACAGAGCCTTAAATCAATCTGGAGAGCGATGTCAAAAAGATGCCGTTTCAGCCGTTTCGGTCAGCTTATTCACGGTTTCGTATGGACGTGTTTAATTAATATGCAGTTTCAAAAATATCTGGCTTTTGCGGACGTGGCCTAAAACAGGATTGCAAATTAAACCAACCCAGATCGTTTTAAAGCGTCGTGACTGGAACAAAAAATACAGCACGGGTATTACCGGTAAGTATCTTTAATTTCATTTCTTCACAACAAGCTAAGAATAATTTTTTCGAAATAAAAATCGACCGCGATTCCTTACGTTGGCAAATTTTATCACTTGGTTGTCCCCTGAGAAAACACGTGACGCTTTTATCCCCTCAGCCACGTGCAAAAATGGTAGGAATCGTAAGGAAAAGCTGTAAAAAGTCCATAGAATCTGTTATTTTAATTTGATCACGTTTACATGATATGCGGGGTGACCATATATAAGAGATTATATGGACAGGCCCGTTACCACACTTAAGCGTGTTACCTCACTCACCCGGGATCCCCCACCACCATGTCAACAGGCGTTTAAGCTTCCAACGTTTGGTAGATCAAAATTCGGCACGCGCACAAAGATTTTCAAGGTAAAACAAAAATATCTCTATCTATTCCGTAGTATTAATTATTTTGAGTTTTTAAAATAATGTGGTTTCGATTCTTTTTAAACAGTTAAACTCGTATCTGGTTTCGCCCCGTACGCTGGTCAAGTCTTCGTTTATCACGCAGGAACCTGGGGCATGGTTTGCTCAGACGGCTGGGACAGGAACGATGCTTTGGTTGTTTGCAAGGAGTTGGGCTTTCCCGGTGTTACCATGGTAGCAAATTATGGGTTTTTTGGTATCGAGAAAACCATAAGCATAGAGCACATGGGTTGTTATGGCAATGAAACAAAGTTGAGCGAATGTTCATATAATACAACTTCAGAGTGGTCGCCATGTAGAACTGGAAGGTACAAGGGTGCAGGCGTTATATGTGAACCAAGCAACATCACAGATCCTAAGGGTATTTCTACGTTAACTCAAATCAACTCAGTTATAGTACCTTAACATGTCATTAATGCCCTGTTCGCACCGCACTTCTTGTTTTAAACTCTTTTTAGGCAACAAAACTTTTTGTTACCTGCTGATAGCTACTTTGTCTGGTCGCTGATTTATTTCGCAAACATAAACAATTACTTTTAACAGTAGTTCCTTTAATTCATTTGACGTTTCTTGTTGCACGAAAACTTCTGCTCGTCTCGGGTGCGAACCGGGTTTAAAAAGGAAAAATTGGTGGAAACTAAATTTTCAAAGTTTTGGCAAATGCAAAACTCTATTTCTTGTCATGGTGCAAACAGCGCATAACTGAGAATTTGGCATTTTCTGTTTTCTCTAGTCCCGCTTTTTGCCTTCCCACCCCTCCAACCCTTTTTTTCTTGGTCGCCCGTCACTCCAATCTAATTATACCCCAACCATGTTTTTTAGATGTTCCCCAAATCAGGCTAACCGGTCCCTCCCACAGAGAAGGATCAGGGAATGTTGAAGTATTTATAAACCGTCAGTGGGGAAGAATTTGTGACGATGCATGGGACTTAGAAGACGCCCGTGTAGTTTGTCGTGCGCTCGGGTTTCTGGATGCAGAATATGCTACATGCTGTGGCTGGTACTTTGGACAGGCGTCTGGACAACCGCTCATGGATACTGTGGAATGTACAGGAAATGAATCATCACTGTTTCATTGTCGCCATATGGCAAGTAGTGAGGCATCGTGCAGTAGGAGGGATAGTGCTGGAGTCATATGCAAACTTAATAAGCCAAACGGTAAGACAATCGTTCATGTGGAATGTGGGAAATTGGCGCCAAACGGGGGCGACGTAAAGAGTTTTGAAAGAAATATAATCATTATCTGAAAAATTCAACAGGTTTATGCTAGGAATACAGTGCGGCAAAAAAAGTAATTGATTTAAATGCAAAGATTAGTTTTTAAAATGACGGTGCCAGCCGAGCTGTCGCCGAGCACAGGCGAGTTTAGGCAACTACGGCCCAAGAAACTTGGAGAGGAATACAGTTTATATTTTGAAAACAATACCTCTGTATGCCACTCACTGATGCATTGCTTGACCCTTTTCTATAAATTACAACGTACAGAGCATCAAATGGTAAAAATTAAGGTTTTCTGGAGGCCCTTTAAGGCCTTCGCGTGAGATTTTCGCGCGAAGAGTGCAGCCTCTTGCCCTTGAGTCGAGAGTCTGTCCTCAGTCTTACACTTCGTTCTTACCCTCGCTCCAAGAGTTTTGTTTGACCGCTCCCTCGTTCTTGACCTACACAAAAAAATACGGTCTGTTCTACAGAGAGGGGTATGCCTTTTGCACTCGGTAGAGAGGAGAATGTATGATTTACATAGATTCTAAACCAATCATGCCATCGCAGAGTTAAGGCTCCGCTTTATTCTTGTTTTACTTGGTCAATTTTGAGTGTAGGATGTGCATTACAACCCAGATAATATAATAAAAAGAGCTTGGTAAGGCTTCAGTCACTGACACAAGGCAGTCAGATCGTAAGGTAGCAGTTTAGCAATTGTTTGGGATTTTGAGGTGTTGAATTCTTGTTTTGTCTTCTCAGTTCGTCTGGTGGGATCTCCGCTTGCGCATGCGGGTTTTGTCCAAATCCGCCAGCATGGTCGCTGGGGATCGTTCTGTGACTGGTCATGGGAGCTAACGCAAGGTCACGTGGTTTGCCGTGAATTAGGATATCGGCGGGCCCTGTACACAACTATTGGTGAATTATTTGAACAACAGTTCAGAGGGCCAATTTGGGTAGAGGAAGCAGTTTGTGATGGTAACGAGTCTTCAATCTTTAACTGTGATTTGAAGTACATCTGGGACTATGAAGATGTTATGGCATGCGATCACAGCCATAGTGCGGGAGTAATTTGTGAGTCAAACCACGATCCTAGATTGAACGGTAAGCTCATGGTAGGTTCTTTGTCTTTCATGAACTATTTAGTATTGGCGGCATAATAAGATGTCGGTTATCAGATGGGATTATATTATTATAATTCAAAGAGGACAGAGACCGCAAATTTTTGTCGCTCGAAATATCTAAAGTTCGAAACTGTTCATCCGGGATGCCTAAAATGTGTGCAATTCCACAATTAGTTTCGACTGCATTAAATCTTATACTAATTGCAGAACATTTTAGGAGAAGCCACCCACAATGTGAGCACAATTACTGACAAGGTGCATGCCAGTAGGAAAAAAATCCACGCCCTCTTATGTGTTTCACATATTTCCCTCTCATCATTTCTTATCATCTGAAGTTACTTCCTCACCTTGAGAATAAGCTTTTTTTCCTTCTAGAAACAGCCCTTGTAAGATTAAAAGGAAGCAATGTCACACACATGGGTCGGGTGGAAATAAAACGGCACGGTTTCTGGCACGCTGTGTGTAGCATTGGGTTTGATATACATGATGCTGACGTGGTTTGTCGACAGCTGGGATTCTCTGAAGCTGTGCTTGAAGTTGCGCATGGTCAATTTGGTCTTGGTTCTGGACCCATGTGGTTAACTAGTATTCGTTGCCAGGGAAACGAGTCTTCGTTAGACGAATGCGTGAGTGCTGGCTGGGAACTAGAGCCAAGTTGTAGAGACAAACATAGCTCCGGGGTAGTGTGCAGAACGCCAGATATAAAAAGCGGTAAGAAACGCTCTCTCGCGATAGACTTAAGACGACTCGACTGGATTTTTCAGGGGCAAAACCTCCCAAGTTTGAGCATTAACTACGTCGCCATTTACAAAGATTAAGGAATGATCACAACAGCTGTATCGGATCATTAAGATAAAAATTGGATATGATCAGTTTTGCGTTGACATCGGAGATGTCATAGCAACTTAGCGATGTCATTTCCTATTTTACTTGCTGCCGTTTTTCTAGGCACTGGGCAGCTACTTTAAAAGCCAGCTTGAAAAATTAAAAGAAAGAAAGGAAAGCAAATGAAACCCGCTTTACGGACACCCGCTTAATAAGAACAGTTTTCTTTGCCGCTGAAGGCTTCTCTAAATTTAACTTGAAATCTTCAGTTGACAGCATGTCGGTGTTACCAGGGGTATAGCACATACACCGGACAGGATGAATAGCAAACGTCAATTTCAGACTATTTTGGCACCGAACGAGTTATTCACAGAACAAACGGTTTTGATGAAGTAATATATAGATGAACGATTATTGAGTTTTTCAGACGATTTAGTCCGTGGAATAAAGGCTTTGTGAAAAGTTAAAGATGTTTAATTTGACGATGCCGATGTCCTCTTTTATTTCTTAAGTATTTGTTCAAATAAAAGGGTCTTATAACAGAACCCACAAAAACGGACATCCCGTTAATTCGGACTTTTTCTGTGGCTCCTTGACATTTTAGGTATTAATGGGGGTTTGAATGTATCCGTAAATACTGTTGAAGAGGTTTTATTTCATTTAAAAATTCACGCTATATGATTTTGTCCACGGTATCAACAGTTAAAGCCAGAATATACAGTTAAGTAATAAGTACCCTGTGAAAGTACCAGAGAAGTGGTTTCATTTGACTGGTAACAACATAGAGTTTAATTTAGAGACTCAAAAGTTCTCACTACCTTTCCCATTCTCCTAATTGGCTCGGGATAAGCCAGTGTGGTTATTGAAGTAACAAAAACTAAGAACAAGGACCACTGGAGTAACATTAATATTAAGAACAAATCTGCTCTTACTTCGATTGTTCAATCAAGAGCTATTTTTATCAAGTTGCTATGTTAACAGCGGTGAAGTTAGAATTATTGTTGTGTTTTTGTTTCTTTGGTAGATGGCAAAGTTCGACTTCGTGGATCTAGCAGTTCTAACGCTGGAAGAATAGAAGTAAAGTTTGGAGGTGTATGGGGCCTCGTATCCGAGAGAGGCTGGGACATCAGGGATGGTCACGTGGTATGTCGGCAGCTTGGATACCTTAAGGCAGTGCGCGTGTATACGCATTCCAGGTGAAACTGAGAACATAAAACAACTACAGTCGACTCCCGATAACTCAAACCCTCGCTAACTCGAACTCCCGCTAACTCGAACTCCCTTTAACTCGAACCAGTTTTCGTTTCCCCTCAGGTCATTTTCCATATAATTTTACCCTCGATAATTAACTCCAACCATGTTTTGAGCCCTTGAAAGTCGGGAAAAAAGCCTTCTACTGGCGTCCCAAAGCATTGAATTTTGGATTTCCTAATGACGTGTTGTAGGAGTATAGTTTACTAGTGGAGGCTGATGTTGATTTTTTTGTCACAGGCTAACGTGAAGCAGCTGTTCTTCTCAAAACAGTAAAACGCATGCTCTATTTAGGCTATGTTTTGTCACGTTACGTTCTGATTTATAATCTAGAAGTATCTTTTAATTTTCACTTGACATTTCTTCAATTAAATGTGATTCAAATGTTCCCTGTGCAGTAAAAACTGTTTTTTACCTTACTCTCGGCTATTTTCTTCGAACTCCCGATAACTCGAACTCCCGATAAGTCGAACCTTTTTTCGATTTCCCTTGAAGGTTCGAGTTATCAGGAGTCGACTGTAATAAAAACTTAATCTATTTTTACAACATGGTTAAGAAACGCGGTTTAATAAATGAATTTATTATATAGCTAAATCGTGCTTCGGCAAGATGAAGGGAATCCTGTGTTCTGACTGGCTAATAACCAAGCGGCCATGCAAGATGGGCCCATGTTGCCTCGCCTGGAATGGTTCCGCAAGGACAAGTTTGCTTTTTGGCCATGAATAAATCTTTTATTGGCCAAGCTCGATCGGTCAAGATGGATTTTTAGCAAAGTTCGTTTTTGGATTTTTATGGACCGGGACATTTTCGAGGTCAATAAGAACCCTGGCTGGTAATCGTTGTAAGGTGGAAGAGTTTCTTTAGTACATAATCGTCGGAATTTCAGAAACCAAACATGAAATTAAACAACAACATCTTGATGGTTACTTTAGGTACGGTTCGGTGAATCTGAATATATGGCTGAGTGATCTGCAGTGCAGCGGAGAAGAAAAACGTCTGTTGGATTGCCCTAGAGAGTTGAACTACGACCTCTACACATTTGCAATGCTTAACGCTGGGGTTGAATGTACAAACGACACCAATTATACCAGTGGTAAGTCCTCATCAAATGCTAAAAACATAGTAGTATTTAATTCAGAAAAACTCCAACGCCTTTTGTTTTCTGTTTCTATTTTCGTCGTATGCGAAAATTGAGCTAGATGAAAAAACATGGAAAGAATTAACGTGGACTAAATGTACCGTCGTTCAAAACACAATTTTAAGGATGGGACATCTAGGAAAAGTGCACACGCAATTGCTTCGACCAAAAAATTACTTCTTTATCTGTATGTGAAACGTCCAAGCCATTATTAATCTAAGAAGGAAATGGCTGAGTTCCTAAGCGTTCTCTCTGGTCTCTTTGACCGTGTGAACCACCGTCGCGAAGTCTGGTGCGGAGTTCAGGCTCGTTCATTTCGGTTACGCCTCCGCAAAAATAGTTTCCAGCTCTAACCGAACAGGAAGGCCTAGGAACTAGGCTGGGCTGTTCCGATACAGAATGTTTGATTTATCAAATGCCCCTTTGGCAAGGAGAGCACCAGAGGTCTTATGTTAGTTGACTGATTTTCAACAGAAGTGGAAGTTCGCTTGGTCGGTATGGAAACGCCCAACGCAGGTCACGTGCAAGTTAAGTATAATGGTACGTGGGGGACGATTTGCGCATGGCGAGGTCTGCTTTATCAAACAGCGAAAGTTATATGCAGGCAGCTTGGTCACAGACCCCCAATAAAGAACATCTTCGGGAATAAAGAATGCACGGCAACTAATCGGGGAGCTGAAAGAGTGTGGCTGTCCAGCCTGAACTGTCAGGGATTTGAAAATTCTGTCGATGAGTGTCCTCACAGAGGCTGGGGAAGACTGGACTCGGAGTATTGTCGAGGATGTACGCCTCGTTATTGCAGTGTATGTTTGATTTGTCAGCCACAAGACACAAATATTACAGGTATAAAGAAAAATAATGTAATCTAGCTAAACATCAAGCATGTCGCTGACAACCGAGTGATATTCTTTTCCTCACAATCACGTTCTTCTTCGTTTTGAAAACGTAAGTTAAAACTTCCTTTTAGTGATGTCAACAGTTTCTGACCTTGCCAAAAAAAAATTCTTAGCAGAGTCATTTCATGCTGTGGCGAATGCAATGTGCCTTAGTTCGAAGATTAGGTTGATTGAAAACGTATTGAACTCGGTGCATGTGCTGTTCCTTAAATTTTTTTTATGGATAGTTATGATCGTGACAGTTCAAATAGTTTTTGTTTGTTATTGATCTTTACACCAACAAAGTTTTGTTTTCACGAACAGACCTCCATCTTAGACTGGTTGGATCAAATCTGTGGTATGCTGGCCGTGTCGAGGTTAAGTATGCAGGAGTCTGGGGAGTAATATGCCCGCGTCATATGAATGGCTCTGTTTTTAGAGTAATCTGCCGTCAGCTTGGTTATGTTGGTGTCATGGGAGATGAAAGCTTATATACAAGAAGGAGCTTACAACTCTATGGAGACTCAGAGGGCCCTGTTTGGTTGAGCAAAGTAGACTGCGATGGAAATGAAACGTCCTTACCACAATGTAAGATTGAGAGTCCGGGAGAAATTTTGTGGTGCTCCCATCACGAAGCCTTGGAAATAATGTGTCAGCCAAAGAATTATACACCACGTGAGTAGCACTGTGCAAGTAAGAATAATTATCATTCGAAGCAAATTTTTCTTTTTTTTTCATTGACCAAGAGCCTAGCACGTGACCTGCAAATAACTGCCTACAAATAATGGTCTGCTCATGCGCAAAGCCGTCCAACTGTGTTTGGCTGCAAATAATATTCTGCTCATGCGTAAACGAAACCGTGCTTTTCTCCTTCTTGCGATCGCTCTTGCGTGAAAACGGCAGATCTCTTTGCTTCCCAAGGATATTCATTAAAAAAACGAACTCGGAGATCGAATAATAAAACAATTATTGAACTCGGTTATCGCAAAATATCGTGATTTGTCAGTGTCTCGCAGATCAATTATTTGCCGACGCCGAATAATTGATCGGCTCGCCACAGACAAATCACGATATTTTGTTCAACCTCGTCCAATAATTGTTAATTATTTTACATTGTACTCACCATCTGTCTTCTCATTGGTTAAGAGCTTCTTAGGGTTTATTTTGGAAACTGGCACAACCTATTGACTAGCTAGTTATCTGCCATCAGATGACTGACTAATCTGTAGGTTGCACGCTTAATGCATGGTTTCCAAGAACAATGTCGAACTATGTTCCATGCGATTGTGTGTTTGACGTTATTTTCTTCAAAACGATGTTTAACAAAACAGTTACTTGATTCGATTTCTTTACTATCCTCTTAGTAAGTGGCCAGGTATCAGCCGAGACCAATACCTCGGCCTTGACCCCCGGGGGGGGGGACTCCCATATGAAACAGACGGGGATGCTCGTCGGAAATTTTGAATTTAACCCCTAAAGGAGACCATCTGGGCGTGGCTCAAGCTTTTTGTGATCCCTAAAGGAGACCAATCTGGGCGTGGCTTAAGCAAATTTTGACCCCTAAAAGATTCCTCTTAAAAACACACAACTACGACATGCAATGAGTTTTAATGATATAAAGACATAACAAACAAAGTTAAAAAGAAAATTTGATTTCTGTTTCTCTTCGCGTAATTCTGTGTTTCTTCGCGGAACCCTAAACGAGACCTTAGCGCCTTAAAATATTGGCGCTTTGCGCGGGACACCCTAAGCGAGACCAAAATCCAAAATTTACACCCCTAAGCGAGACGACGAGCATCCCCGTCTGTTTCATGTGGGAGTCCCCCCCCCCCGGGCCTTGACCATTCCGGATTCAAAAAAGAACAAGAACCTCATCCAGTAATTGTTTATTAGAGTCACGCTTAGGTTCAACTTCGTTTATGGGAGAACTCGTAGTCCGCCTAGAACCCTGACAAAGTATAGATGAGAAAATACTTAACTTGCCAAGAATTTAAAATATGTGTGTGAAGACGTAATTCTTGTTTTTTTCCCTGCTGTTACCGTAGCTACACTAAAACACTTGATATATTTTAGTCACAGAACACCACTAAGTCGACGACGGGACAAGTCCATGTATATGTGTAGACGCGACCTAAATCAGAGGAAAGATTATAGGAAAATTAGAATATCCCAATCAGAAAAAATGTATAACTGATATTAGCAATCTCTTAACCTTGACGTATTCTGATTTATTTAGCATATCCGATCCGTTTGGCTGGATCATCAGTAGCACATGCTGGTCGACTGGAAGTTCTATATAATGGAACTTGGGGTACAGTGTGTGGTGGTGTGTACGATTGGAGTGTTAGAACTGCAAATGCCTTGGTTTCCTGTAGGCAGCTTGGGTTTGGATTACCTATAAGGTCAGTACAACAGTCAAAATGAGACTATATTCCACAAATATTGACTGTTTTGTTAGAGATTCTTCGCGTTTACATTTGACCTTTGTGGCCTTTTGTCCGTTGTCTGTCATTCTGTCATTCGTAAACAATAGCTAAAACAATGCAACTACTCCGTCGACCAATCAGCGCTTCTGACCGGATTCCGGACAGATTTTACGTCATCAGTATGGAATTTCTTTCGCTGAGTCGCAGACGTTTCTCCGCGCGAAACATCTGCAGCGGCCAAGAGCGGGGAGAAACGGATGTTTTAGCAGGCTAGCGAATTAGCGACAGAAGTTCCATACTGATAACGTACAATTTGTCCGGAATCCGGTCATAAGTGTTGATTGGTCGACGGAGTAGTTACATTGTTTTAACTGTTGTTTGCGAATGACAGACAGAAGACAAAAGGCTGCAAAAGTCAAATATAAACGCGATAAATCTATAACAAAACAGTCAATATTTGTGGAATATATTCTTCTCTAGAATGCAGCATTTGAGATTTGCTGCAGCTCGTTCGCAGATGAACATAACACTTTACCAAAATCGACCAGGAGAAACGTAAAATTGAACAAATTTGCATTTCGAGCCTATGACTACCGGATTTATTATGTAAACATTGATTTACCTCATCACTATGGAATTTCTGTCGCTGAGGCGCAGACGTTCCTCCTCGCGAAACATCCTCAACGGTGAGCAGCGAGGAGAAACGGCTGTTTTCGCAGGAGGCAAGCTGGACATTAGCCAAGTTTTTTGGGAAAGAGCCAAGGCCAGCCATCTAAACCAAAATAGCTTCGTCAATAAAGTATGGCCAAAAAAAACATTTTCGCTTGCGGGACGGACGCAGGAATTCCAGGATTCACTTCATCTAGCCTGCTAGCGGATTCAATCATATCGTTAGAATACATATTAACGATGGATCGGTCGTCGGAGGTTAGTGGTTGAGATGGGTACTGACTGGTTGGGCGAATATTTTTGCATATCAGACTGGGACTGTAAATGTCGATCAAATTAAACGACGAAAAAACTTTTAAAGTAGACGATGGCAGGGTAAGGCGGCTGAATCCGGCATTTTACGATTTATTGAAGGCATTTATTTCTGATTTCTATACTTATTTTTACATACAGATCAACTACCAGCTGGCTAGCCCCCAAATTTTCAAACTGTCCGTCAAGTACCCACGCCACAGGGGCCATTTGGTTGTCCAATGTCCGGTGCAAAGGAACTGAAAGCTCATTGGACCAATGTTCCAGTCTTGGATGGGGTAAAGCGAAGAAACATTGTGATCACGTCTCAGATGTATGCCTTGTCTGCGATAACTCACAATATCATAATATGGGTGAGTTTTTTAAGTTATCTTACCGCTATCGTCCTATAAACAACACATTAAGTACAATCTAATCCTGTGTCAAAATTCTAAAAGTTCAAATTCGACAAAATTTTCTCATTTGGTGGCTGCTTTCACTGTTAACGGACAATATTTTGGCTTTATATAGCCAGAGAAAACAAACATTTTTTGACGCCACCGCTGGTTTCCCCGCGAAATTTCATACTGATGTCCTGTCAAAATATGGGTGGTGATTCTGATTGGTCGAAAAAAGCAGAATATTTGGTTGAAAAAGCAGAATATTTTAAGTGTACAGCAAATAACAACTTTCAACGTTCAGCTCCAGCCCAGGAGAGTTAAAAAAGTTACCTATCCCATTTTTAAATTGTCGCTCTATAGAAATAATGGTCCGTTTAAGTGGTTCTGAGGTACCTCATGCTGGCCGCGTAAAAGTACGTTATCAAGGAGTCTGGGGAACTTTATGTGCATCTGCATGGAAAACAGAGACCGCTGAAGTATTGTGCCGGCAGCTCGGATACAAAGGCGTTGAACTAGATTTTACTATGCACAATAAATACTGGTACCTACCACTGGACATATATGACGCCGTTCGAGGACCAGTGTGGTTTAATGGTGATGGATGTAATGGAAGGGAAAGGACTCTGTCCGAATGTCAGTTACGTCAGGAACCGCATTGTGGCCAAGATGATCCTCAACTAATCTGCAAGGTTGAGAATTCTTCTGTTGACGGTGAGTGATTTGATTCAAACACATCCCTAGAAAGACGTGTCACTGCAAGTGCTTATCACATGGCCTGTCGCATTAGCCTCTGACGCTTTTCACAAGCAGCACCCCCTTGAAACTTGCAGCGCGTTGTAACTGCTCATGCAAAGAGTAATTTTAACATGAATCAGTCTTCATCTGTGTTAAAAATAGAAAGAAAAAAATATTAGTTGTGAAATATGTTCTCTCTGATTTTTTCTTACTGCCTTTAGCGTCAGGTTGGGCTTAGGGCTGCTCCCTAATGCATTGAATATAAAAGCCACTAATACTTCACTAATGTGGCTGAGTTAAGAATTGCGTATAGCATATTTTCTTACAACTTTAGTATGTGTTTTCTCTAACCAGCGTAAATACTGGCGTGTATTATTCCCTCTTGAGCTCAATTTGGGCTACCACACTTCTAAGCCCTGTAAACTTCTCTTGAAATATAAGCACCGTTTCTCTTTCAACAGTTTTTCCAGTTAGGCTAGAAGGGAGCAATCCAAGGGAGGGCCGCGTGGAGGTCTTCTTTGGTGGCCTTTGGGGCACAGTAGGAAGTGCAAAATGGGACTTTAAAGATGCTTTGGTACTGTGTCGTCAACTTCGATTCAGCCATGTCCAAAACACATACACCAAGAAGTTTAGAGGAAGTACACGAGTGTTTTGGTTTGGTGATTTTGAATGTCAGGGGAGTGAGGCAACATTAGGCCAGTGCAGACACAGGTTAATCGCAAGAGCCTTCTTCGATGATGATGAACCCTTTGATGTGTATGTACGCTGTAGCAATGGCACAGAGACTGAAACAGGTAAATCAATTCTAGAAAACTGTGCCCAGTTGTTCAAAAGGTGAATAAAGCGCCCATCTAACGGATGAACCTCTAAAAATTGGATTCGGGGGGATTTTCACTGGCACGTATTTTTTACCTTCGTTCGGCGTGTAATTTAGGCGCGTAAATAAAATAGCGGCGATGTATGAAAGGCCACGCGTAAACGTGCAAGTTGAGCGAGTTTCAACTTTTACGTTTACGCGCGACCTTCCTTACATTAGGGAGCTTAAGCAACGGTGTTTTTGAGCAACGGACGTCAACCGGAAGTGGACGTTTTGCGTCATTGGGCAGTGGTTTGGTTGAAACTCTCTGGTAAATCGTCTTTATAAGAGAAAAGAAACTTAGCAATACAAATTTGTTAGCGCCAAGGTAGATAAAAAGGGAGAAGGCCTCACTTCCGGTTGACGTGCGTCGCTCAAAAACGTCTTTGCTTAAGCTCCCTATATTTCATTCACGCGCAAAAAATTAACGTGCGTACGGACGTAAAAATTACGATTAATTAGATTAGTTCAAATTCACCAAAACTCAATTGGTCTATTTAATTACGTTTATCCACAGCGTTGCGATTTTTTCGATTAAAAACGCTATCGAAATGTAATTGGAACAGCTGGGTCAGGAAGTTTTAATACATTATCTCATGAGTGTAATGGAATAATATTGAATCGACATGTTTAGCTACTGTAGGAAGACTTCGACAGAAAGTATGATTGATGTGACCTTCTTTTATGTACAGGGTCAGTTACCATCCGGCTTGACAGTGTTGCAGTTTTTATTACATTCGTTTGCTTTCGTAAATAGGATAGGACTTGTCGAGGGAGTTAAATCACTCCGCAACGGATGGTTTTAACTACCACTCTTGACACAGCTGTCATTGCTGCTCATTGCTAGAGATCCTACCGTGTCCTGATTGGATGAGTTGTTATTTTTGGCGCAAAACATGAATCCACATATAGCCAAAGTCTAATACAGTTGTGAAACCGGCCTTATCGAAGAGATAACTGCTCCAGGGTCATGGGCTCTTGCTAATGGGGAATATAGAATCTTCTTTTTCAACATTATGTATCTTCGTTCTTTTTCGTTTTTATTAATGCTGACAGTCGTCAACTCTCCAAGGCTCACCTCATTAGCGACGTCCATGGCTTCGCTCACCACTCATTTGCCAGTTTTATCTACGAACACTCCAAGGAATTCTTCCTCGACAGCGTCTGTGGCCGCAACTACTATTTATCCCACAATTTCATCTTCGACAACGGCGACAAACACATGGAAGCTTGCTCCCACTAGCACTTCTATTGCTCAAGGATCGCAGCTTCTATCGACACCAGCAACAGAGAGTTCTCCGATTTTGTGTCCGAACCAACCTTGTCAGAATGGGGGAACTTGTGAAAAGACGACCTGTCGCTGTTCCGAAAAATTTGCTGGCGTTTATTGTGAAGTTTACGTTGGTAAGTAGAACACTTCAATGGACCAGTTTGTGCTGGTAATAAAATTTGCGGCTGAATTTCGATCTAAGCTAGAAAAACATTAAAAAATTGCGACTTGACAAGGGTCAGGATAAACATAGCTGCACTAAAGTCCCTAGTGTAATGCCGCTTTAGCTTCGTAGGGAAATTTTTCCCTAATATTTTCCCACCCAGCATACCCACTATAATTCATATAGCAAATAGATGGAATAAATGAACAGACAAACAAATGAATGAATAAATAAATAAATACCAAGGATAGAATTAAAGTGAAAATTGACCTTGATATAATAGATGTTGAATAAACTTACACCTCTGTAATATTGTAGGTGAAAATGCTGTTTCCATGGTATTGAAAATGATTCTGGATCAAGTAAGTCCGACTCTCTCCTTGTTCATAGTACATTGAATAGGAAGGAAATGCCATATATCAGTTTACGGATGTGATCAGTCTATGATCAGGGTATATGTTGCGTACACTGGTAGAGCCGTATCCACACGGAAATTTTTTCAGGGCTTTGCATATTATGTTTCGTATGGGTTTCGTATAAGTTTACATGGTTATGTTGTCAGTAAGTCAGTTTTCCTTTGATGCATAGCTCAATTGTACCTCAAAATCGTGTCTTGCATCCTGGTTACTGGTCGTCGTAAGTTGCTTCTGTAGACTTTCATCGGACGCCATTTTTTCTTCATACCCCTGATTTCGTATTGTCTAAAGTCACAGCACTCAACGTACTGCAGTGGGAAAAAGGCCTTTCTAGGCGTAGCAAAGAGCCTAGAAGTGACCCAGCTTCGTGTTCCCCGGCGTGAGCGCCATTTTGGAAAATAGGATGACGTCATCATACATATCCAGTTCTGGTTGTGGCCCGGACTGGAACCAAATGAATTCTCCTTTCGTCTGTGAGCGCGTCATCATCAGTTACACAAGCTGTTCTGTAAGGTCTCTAGCCTGTAAAAAGACGTTTTCTTTTCTTTTCGAAAATTGAAGAGCGAGCGCGCGCGGTTTTTTTTTCATACGCGCACTCGACGATCTCTTGATTAAGTGAAAATAGAGGGTCTGTGAAAAGGCTATAAGTTCTCCTTTAAACCAATTGTTTTAACTTTGTTTTTTCAGTGGAATGCTTCCGAGTTCAAAGGAACTCTAGCTGCTGTTTTAACAAACCATTGTAGCCTGAACCTATGTTTGGAGGACAACGTGTAAGTCGATATTTTAAATGCTCTTTGTTAAAGATTATTGACTCATTATCAATCGTAGACAAATGTCTTGGGAGAAATTTGCATTTGCTGCGCTTTTTTAAATCACACTTGCCCAACCCTTTCTGCAACCCCACAAACAACGTCAGGACGGGTGTATCCAGAATTTTAACCCTTAAGTTTCAACGTTGTATAAGATGTGGGGAGAGGATCTGCAAAGTATTTCCCAAAAGGTAACAATATTTCGGTCCGTAGAACACCAAAGAAATTGCAGGTAATTATGAAATCGCAGTGTCCCCCCCCCCCAAAAAAACGCGCAATTGCTTAATAAACCATTCTACTTCTTTCTTCCATCAGAAATCCAGATACACAAAGCCAAAAAAAGGCTCTGACTTTTCAGCGTGATGATATCATCATACTTCAGGGATACCCAAAGACTTGGAAGGACATGGAACTCTTAAGTGTAAAACTGGTCGTTAAAATGCCAACGGATGCTAACAATAGCATAATACCTCGCGAAATTATGAAGCAGCTACTGATAAAGGTGGCACCTGAAATTGAACAACAAATGGGGATCAGCATCGTTTTTATTGGCGAGAAGGAAATCATTTCAGCATCACCCGATGCTTCTGGTCGCAACTCAGATAAATCGCGGAAGTCTTCCTCGACTCATAGATCAGTTTTGATAGCTCTTGCGGTCGTTGTTGGCTTAGTGTGCTTGGTTGCCATAGCCACGATTGCTTGGTATCGTCGTAAAAAGAAAAGGTAGGCAAGGGAGGTAGCTAATTTGAAGGTAATCGGTCAGATAACTACAGTCTGTATTGGGTGTCAAAAATGGGACCGTTTTAAAGCAACGTGTCAAGCAACTACTGTAGCTAACTGACATGAGCAAAAAAAGCGCATGCGTAAGGCACTGGCCATACCACGGAGTCGGTACATGTGCTTCAGTGCTTAAATTGGTTTATAACAAAGCTAGAATATTCGCCCAAACAAATTCAATACCGCGAGCGTGCTTCATATTCCCATTGAACACGCTGATGACGTCAATAAACTATACCTCGAGTTCTTGTGAGCTCAGCAATCCTCCCAAGACGTACTCCAAGTGAATCCATAACTCAACAGTACACGATGAAGCGTTAACGATGTGTTTTATAACGTAAATTTAAGAGAAAATGTTTGAATTTTTTAACCGATCGAAGGGAAGAGAGGTGAGTGTTGCTGTTGTTGTTATCTGCGCGAGCTGTGCGGGCTATGGCGTGTGCAAATCATTCTTTCCAAAGTTATTTCTTTGAAAAAGAATTTTTCGGTGAATTAATAGTTTTCTGGCACTTCAATATGGATTTACAATCTTTTTTAATGTTATCTTAAGTGACTTGAGTAAACTTTCTCTCAGTTTCAAGACAAAAACATAACTGTGAGGTAAAAAATAAGGGCGCGCTGAAGCACTTGGGAAGTTCGTAGAGAACTCAAGAGGCTAGAGTTACTCTCAGCGGTGACTCGAACAACTCTTACGCCTATATCTCGACATACGCACGCTGACTCATGAACTAATTGTTAAATTGTTTACACTCAGAAAAAAGCTACTGCAATGAGTTTTATGGCCCCATATTGATGGATTCAACAACGTTGGGTGAACTCCGTTGACTCCAGAAAAAAAAGACAGCGTACGTTGGACAAATAATAATAATACCAAATAAGAATAATATCGATGAAATCTAACACAACACGAATTCATTTTTTAGAGGATATTGATCAAAAGAATGTTTCATGTAAATGTACGGGTGGCGTCAGCGTTTTGCAAGCTCTATTATGATGGAATTAGCTTATGTGTTTTGTGAGGTAAAATTTCAATTTGCATCAATTTTTCTACCAACAAGAAACTTTATTGAAGTACTGTCCCTTTTTTTCCTTTTAGAGCCGAGAAGATGACACTTAAGCGAAGCGATGATGAGGAAAAAGAGGAAAACGTTAGGCTGGTGGAGCTTTGAAGATCATCGTCATAAAGGAACAGGCCCTAATCGTTGATAATATAGTTGTAAAAGCCATTATTTATTGTCGACCTTCTCTCCTCATATAGCTCAGTTATAAGAGCAAGATTAATTTTCAGACTCCAGCTTCCTGTACATTCCGATAAGTTTTTCTTTTTTTTTTTGCCAATAAGGCAATGGTTGGAGCTACACTAAGGGCGATTTCCCAATGTCAGAACTAACCGACCAGACCGGTCATTTTGAAAAGAAATATTCGTCTTCCCTCAAAATTTTTACTAAAACCCATCACTGCTGTGAACTGATACCATTTAGGAATAAGCATGACCTAGCTGGAAAGTGCTGATTTGTAGTGAAATTCCTGTTACGACTGGACTGGCTGGCCAGCGAGGTCTGACAAATGGTAAATGCCCTATGATTATCGTATTTATAGGCTAGGCTAGTTTTAATGGTACTGCAGCTTAGATTAATGCACTCCCGGGATGATCCGTATTTTGACTAGCCTTCGTAGACATAGAGTAAAAGAAAAGAGCTCGGTTAATATTTAGTTGTGTCCCTTTTTGTGGAATGCTGTAAGCTTTAGTGTCCTCAAATTCCCCAGATAAGATATCAAAGTCAGGTGTTATTAATATTGGTACAACTGATCACTCTGCTATTTATCTTACAAGTAAAGTTACTCATCTTCTCTCCAATATGCATAAAACTGTGGAAGTCCGACAGCTCAAGAATTTCAATGAAGCTGAATTTTTGCGAGATCTTCGCATGATTGACTGCAACTGCGTTACAACGTGCAGTAACCCAAATGAAATGTGGGTCTTTTGGAAACACCTTTTAGCGAGTGTTATTGATAAGCATGCACCATTCAGAACAAAAAGGGTTAAAAACAAACGCTCTCCCTGGATTACGAATGTACTGTTGCGTGAAATACATAAAAGAGATTTTCTAAAAAAGAAAGCAGTATCTACAAATGACCCTTTGATTTAGAAACAGTTTAAAGATGCAAGAAATAAGGCCAATAACTCAGTGAAGAAAGCTAAACGTAAATACTTTTCTGAAAACCTTGATGCAAACATAAGTGATCCTCGTAAAACCTGGCGAGTAATTAGTGAACTCCAATCTCGGCAAAGTAAATCAACCAAAGTTTCTCAAGTCAAAACAGGAAACCAAGTTTTCACCTCACCTTGTGATATCGCTGAAGCATTTAACAATCATTTTACAAACATAGGCCATGCAATCTCTAGCACAAGAAATTCCTGGTACGGAAATTGACCCACTTGTCTATGTTAATCCTGTTGACGGAGTATTTTCTTTTCAACGGATTAATGTTTAAGAAGTCATCAAATTACTTAAGGCTATCGATGTAGGTAAGGCAACTGGACTTTACAAAATTCCAAACTGGCTTCTGAGGATTGCTGCCGATGTTGTCTCGCCCTCTTTAACGGGCATCTTTAATCAATCGTTAGTGACTGGTATTTCCCTCTCTGACTGGAAACTGGATAAAGTGTCACCAATTTTTGAGAATGGTTCTAAGTCTGACCTAAACAACTATCGGCCTATATCTGTTATTCCTGCTGTAGCCAAAATTTTTGAAAAAAATTATCTATGTCTTGAGCAGCTATATCAATATCTGAATGAAGATAGTTTATTAAACAGGGGGAAGTCTGGTTTCCGCTCGCTACACAGCACTCTTACTGCCTTGCTGGAGACAAACGATAGCTGGTGTGTCAATATTGATAGAGGTCTTCTTAATTGCGTAATCCTTATTGATTTGAAGAAAGCCTTTGACACTACTGACCACGAGATAATTCTAAAAAAACTTACCAAGTATGTCGTTGATTAAGACGCCCTGAAATGGTTTAAATCTTACCTAACTAACCGTATAGAATGGTGTGATGATTTAAACAAACATCTATCTAGCGCGAGCCCTCTAAATTGTGGCGTACCTTAAGGGTCAATAATTGGTCCTCTTCTCTTCTTTTCTTGATCTATGCAAATGATCTACCAAATTGTTTAAATGTGGGCTCTCCTAGAATGTATGCTGACAACCCTAATGTTACCTTTTCTGCAGCTACTATACCTGATCTTGAGTCCCAAATCAATAGTGACCTGAAATATATTGATCGCTGGCCAAAACAGAGTTTATGGTTATTAGTTCGACGCAGAAACTACAGTCCTTAAATGACTACACAATGAATATTCATATAGACGGCGTCCCGATAAACCGAAAGCAATCAAAGCAAATCTCTCGGGCTTATCATTGATGAAAATCTCTCGTGGAAGGTCCACATTTATGCAATCTCTAAAACAGTATCCTCTGGTATTGGCGCTCTTAAGCGGGTCAGGCCATTTGTTTCAATGCACCCTGCAATTAGAATATACAAAGGTCTTATCGAGCCACAATTCGATTTTTGCAGCTCTGTATGGGATGGTTTGACCCAACAGTTTAGTGAGAAACTTCAAAAACGTCAAAATCGTGCGATCAGAGTTATCACCAAATCTAGCTATAACTAGTTACAGATTTCTTTGTAACTCGTTTGGTTGGGACAATTTATTGGTTAGAAGGGCTAAACAAAAGGCTTTAATGTACAAGTGCATTAATAATCTCGCCCCAGCTTATCTCTGTAATTTGTTTGCCCCAAGAACACCGAATTACTGTTTTCGCAACGCGAAGAAAAAATTAATGCTCCCAAAACCAAGAACTGATTACCAGAAGTGTAGCTTTAGTTACAGTGGCGCTCTTCTTCTATACGTACATCAAATTCCTTAGGTCTCTTTAAGAGGAGTTCCCGTAGATGGTTTTCTGATCGGTACTCCCACAAGGCAAATGTGTAAAACAGTTTTTGAGAATTTTTAATTAATTTTCTATGTCAGACTGATGTTTTTCACCTTGTATAAAGAAAGTTAGCATTCATTCATTCCGAGGGCTGAAAAATTCGATGGCGAGAAATTTTGTTGACTCAGAAATATCGGCGGGTAGCATCCCTTGTGTGATTGTTTTTAAATGCACTAAAGATAACCATGGGTCTTCTAACGCGACCTCGTTTTGAGAGGAAAGCAAAGTGCCATGGCTAATCCCAAAGAAATTTTTATCTTTGAGAATCAAAATGTTTTCTCAGGCAAAGCCAGGGAAGACAATGCGATTTGAGCCAACTGACAAAATTAAGAGATTTTTTCCAGAGGGAACTTTTGTTATGTATACATATAGTTCAATAAAGGCCTTGGTCATGCATTTACCCTGTTTACCAAAGGTTTTTTTTCTCGCTTTTGGCCGGATGCTTGGTGTCGGCCGCAGGCTGACCGATCTTCGACCGATGGTACTAGCCCGAAGTAGCAGGTTGACCGAATCCGAAATCACGAATGAAAAGTCTCTGGCATCCAGGGTAGTCGTCAGTAGATCTTATATTTTCGGTCTGCAGTCTGACGTTATCGAATCAGTGATGTTCCCAGGCCCGATCGGTGACTTTTGGCGCTGAGCAACAATTAAGGATTCTGATTGTTAGATGTCATTTCACCTCGAAGTACTGAGAGGCAATAAGAACGCAAGGTTTTGGGAGAAAATGCAATAACAATGTTACACATAATTACCAGAGCACTGCTCAACTATAGTTAACTATACACTGATCGATTAAAAGGGATACGTCTTGGTAAAAAAACTCTTATTTAAAATTGCATGTGATGTTAACAATTAATATTCTTAAACAGCCGTTAATAATCCGTTAGAGTTTTCACGAAATGATTAAGTTTTAAGGTTGATAGTTACTGTAACCTCAGTGTTGTTGCTATC